GTAAAGTATAATTATGTCTTGCGCCATATTGCAAGTGGAATATGCGAATAATACAGTAAAGTTGGAATATATTGAAATTAGTTGTTTTAGTTATGATATTTTAACATTTAGCAGAAGGCGTGTTTGCAGTAAACTAATATATATATTACAAATATATTATTCAATTAATTATAGTTATTCAAACATATGTACTGCGTTTTATCTATAGCGTTAAAAGATAGCTCGCTTATACTGCTCTAGAAGTAGTAAAAATTCGATTTTGATTCTTTCATACATTTGCATACTTAAAAAAAAATCATATAACAAGCCATATACGAACGTGGTCTAACGGTCTCCACGTGACTTCATAGACATCAATTCTTATTGCAATCGAAGCCGTCGATAATTTGTCCATTAAAACTTCCGAACGAGTGCATTACTAGTAATTTAAACCTTTTAAAATGTCTGTCTGTTCACAATTCATATACTTAAAGTTTAAGCTTAAGTTGTTATGTATTAACATAATGGTATTTACCAGGTTAAAGCGTTGTTGTATTTGCTAATTTCCAAACTCTAAATTATTTAAAAAATACCAAAATTTATTTTAGTAGTTGAAAACTTTGTGAATCTCCCATAGTAACATTATATTCATTTTTAAAGGTTCATTGATTCATAGTGTTAGTTGTTCAACTCACTTTATTATATACAATTTATATTTATTTTTTTTAACTCTCTGAATAAGACTTGATTTTGTTTTCAAAAATTTCCATTAAAAAATAATTGCATATCAATTTCGCACTAATTTGGAGTTTTATGCAGGACTAAAAATGATAAATTTGCAATTAATTGAGAGCTAAGGCTGATTACCAGTTTTTAAACCCGTTTGTGCATACCTCGTAGAAGTTTCGACGAACCCTAATATACGTAAGATTTTTAACAGAATTGAAAAATTTAAGTTTATTTCTAAATGGTAAATTGAGAATAATTAGCAATTGATTTTACACATTGTTTTTTACTTACTTTAATATAAGAATATTTGCGCAATATTGTTAGTAAATTCTAATTCTAAAAGAAATTATAAAATAACTTCAATACTATAATATAAAGTTGCGAATTTTTACTGAAATATATTATCTGAAGTGAAATCTAATGCGCTCTCACCACTTATTGTTCTCCATGCACACCTGATATTAAATATGTATACCCTGAACAGGGTATATTAAGTTTGCCAACACCCAGAAGGAAACGACGGAGACCCATGATGTGTTGAGTTGATTTAGCCATGTCCGTCTGTCTGTATATATACAAACTAGTCTCTCAGTTTTTAAGATATCGTTCTGAAATTTTGCACCTGTCTTTTTCTCACTAAGAAGCTGATCATTTGTCAGAACCGATATCGGACCACTATTGCATATATGTAGCTGCCATACAAACTTAACAATCGGAATCAAGTACTTGTATGCGAACCTTTTTTATTTTACGAGGTATCTTCACGAAATGTGGCACGGATTATTATTTAAAGCAAATATGCAATCTCCGAAGAAATTGTATAGATCGATTAAATATGGCATATAGCTGTCATATTAACTGAACGATCGGAGTAAACTGCTTACATGGAAAACTTTTTTATTTTACGAGGTATCTTCACAAAATTTGGCATGAGTTACCTTCTAATGCAACAAATTATTCTCCGCAGAAATTGTTTGGATCAGATCACTATATCATATAGCTGCCATACAAATTGAACGTTCTTAATCAAGTTCTTGTAAGGGGCCTTTGTATATGTGAAGGGTATTATAGCTTTGGTGCAATCGGACTTTAGGTTTCTCTTTTTTTTTGTAAGATAAAACATGTATATTTTATCGACAATTCTATATTTGCGGAATTCAGTATGGACAATATATGGTAGAAATTACTTTCAATACTTTACTTTGCCAGCATTTTTTCTCTAGCCCGCTATAATTACAGACCTTATTCAATTAAAGTCAACGAAAAAACAATAAATAAAAAAATTTGAAAATATGAGCATGAAAATGGCTAAGTCTGTTGTGACATACAAAATATGTACTTAAGCAAAGCTTGCTGTAACATATATTTAAGAAGAGGAATAATTTTCTTAATTTTACATTCAATAAAATGCGGTCGCAAGAACAGAACTTTGATTTGATGAAAACAATCTCAAGCTTTTGCTAACAAATTTCTTCAATAATGGTATAGCACGAATTTACATGTGGAGAACTTGAGTTTACCAGAATGATATTATTTACCGAAATTGTGACAACACAATTTTTGAAAAACAGAGTTGTCAGACTTTGTTTGTTTATACCTTTGAGTTATACGTTTTGAGATTAATTGTAATGGAACAATATTTATATGGATGAATAAATAAAACGTTTTTAATACAAATTAAAATTCATCGAACAATTTCAAAAATATGTTTATGTAAAATACTTATCCGCAAAATTTTATACTATTTGCTTTTAGATTAAATGGTACACCGAGAGTTATCGCCTAAAAAAGTGAATTGAATTGTTTTAAAATAATGGAAATATATTTATTTATAAACATTTAGTGCATATACACAAAAAATTTTAAAAATATAAAATTTAATTTTTAAAAAGCCATATGCTGTTTTCCAAGTTACAAAAAAGGTTCCTCAATTGCTGCTTCACCGTCGTTCAAATCATAAAAATAAAAAGTAATACAAATTTATAAGGCAATACCTATACAATGACCTATAACTGTTAAAAATGAAATTCAAAAAAATGGCAGACTTTGAAAGTTGATTTTTTCTCAAAAGTTAAAAGATTTTTGGTCAAAACAACATTTTTCATACAATTGAAAAACTAGAAATTCGTTATAATACATAAAAGCATATACAAAATAAGCAGAAATAAGTCAAATCGAACGAATAATTTGTCCTCGAGTTACAACCGTAGCCAATTTAAAAAAGATAGTTTTTAGTTTAATAAACTATTGGTGTTGAAAAAAAATAAATAATTATTGAAAATTTAAATATGCTATTTTTAAGGGTATGGACTATCGAGATATATATAGGTAAAACAAAATTGTTTGGAATTTTCACATTTGTAGTTCTCTTTAAAAATTTATGTTCAAAATATATATTAGCTGTGTTCAAAAATTTGCAGTATTTTAACTTTTCGATTAGAGTATATTTTTGATTAGAAAATAAGTTAGAGAATTACTACGATCGTGGCAGGATTCAAGATTTATTCTTACTACACTACATTCCGCATTATGCAGATATTTTTCTTCACAATTAATTTCCATTAATAATTCTATTAATTTATTAATCTCCCTACCAATCGTAACAATGATTTTCACCACAACTGTAGACATCCTTGCAAACGCAAGCATGTGTAGGTATATGTAGAGGCACACAATGAAGCTTACGTTGCGCGTTGTTTGTTGAAGTGTGTATTTCCGCCAACAACCGGCAGCTGAGTGTAATGAAGTTTTGTGCATTTAAATGTCATTTCATATCCGTCGACACACTCATGGTATGACTGTATATGGATGAGTGCAGCATGAGGTGTTTTTGGGGGCGGGGCGTATACGCAACACCCACTAGTCTATTTGCGCACTGAACGCAATTCAATTCCACTTCATGCAATCGAACTCATAATAATCGTCAGGAGAACAAGCCGACAAGTCAGTCAGCGGCAGCGGTAGTACCAGCAACAACAACGAAAATGCGACAACAAAACTTACTTGCGCGCATTACAAATGCCAGGGGCACTGTTGCATTGTTTATATACACATTTGTTGCTGCTGTTGTAGATTTCGCGCTGGCGACGACGGTAGTAGGTTTTTACGCTGCTAATGTAATGGTTGTTGTTTTTGTTGTCGCTATGGTTGTTGTTGGCTTTCGAGTTGTTCCTTCCCATTTGCGCGGAGATGTGTGATCATTGCTGTAATATTTTTTTGTGCCGTACTACATATGTTTTTTGTTTTTGTTTTTTTATTTCTTTATACACGCGTATATTATTATATTTTTTTGTATTTGCTATAAAGCAATGCATTAAGTACATTTTCCAGCTATCAGCTACACCCATTTAATAGCAACCAACGGCATTGTAATTCAAGTCGCTACTATTGCTTTCGCTGTTTGTTGTTGTAATTTTTTTGTTATGTTTTTGTTGTTATTATTACTGCCACTTGCAGTGCTGCCATCATTGTTGTTGTAGCCCGCACAAGGCAACATTTCACTAACAGGCGCATGTTGCCCATGGCTCGCTTGGCTGTGCCGCCTGGACTCGGCATACACATACATACATATGTACAAGTATATGTGTGTATCTAATAGCCAACAGCGGCAGTAGCTTAAAAGTTTCACTTTACCGTTCCTGTTGTTAGTGTTGTTGCCAGCTATTATTATTACTGCGTGAGTTGTGACAAAAGCACCCAACTACACATACAAACAAGTAAATGCCCACACACTCATACAAACACATACATACACGCCTGATTGCAAGCGATCAGTTTCAGTTGCCGTCCCAACAACAGCGCGTGTGCAAGTGTATCAGTGTATCAGCAACAGCCACTCTCCTACTGTCAAGGCTGCAGACATTTATACATACGTATGTGTGTATGTATATACGTGTGTGTGTGTGTGTGTGCATATACAGTTGGCTTTGTGGGTGACGTGTGCGTATTTTTCCTTTTTCACTTCTAATTGTATTTTTTAGGCTCAAAAAGTAGTCACATTTTGTTTCAACGGCAACATTTCCGATTTGTACCGTTAACATGAGTTTCCTTCGAATGAGTGAATGCGACGTACAACAACATTAAAGTCTGCAGCGATAACAAAGTAACACGCTGCGTAGGCATGTGAGTTGAAACAAAAAGCTGATTTTTATAACAACGCTACGAATAACGGTGCGATAGCGGTGAGAACATACCTTGGTGTATAGAGTTTCATACATGCATTATACATATATTATACATATATTATATATATACTATATATATGGTAGTAATTGTATTTAAATGGTTTTCAGATACCCTAAACTAAACGAGCCGTTTTCTCGGATGTCTACTAATGTGAGAGTCATATGGAAGTTGAATTTCCTAACAATTTAAATATCTGGAGGAAGAAAGAAAAAGTAACAAGTAAAGAAGGGCTAATTTCGGGTGTAACCGAACATATGGGGGTTTATGTAATTTGTTATCTAATATCACATTTTATCGTCATTAAACTAATTGAGTTAATTTTGTTAAGATATCTTACATATTGACCTATATATACGGTATAAAGCCAACCAGAAGTGTGAAAATCTTATATTAGGTATACTCATATGATAGATAGGGGTAGAGTTGAACCGCTTTTATCTACTTTTACAATTGTCGCTAATTACTAAAAGAAATATGTGATATGTGAGTTCCATTAAGGTACCATAACCAATATATGCAGGTTAAAGTCAACAGGATGTTTTAAAATTCTCAGTTATATGGCGGCTAGGGCAAGTTTTGACCTGACTTTATCCATTTTAGGCGCAAAGATACATTGTTATTAGAAAGAAACGTTATTTTAATTTCATTAAGATAACTTAATTATTGACCGATATTTGCGCTATAATGTCAGCCGGAGGTTCGAAAACTTTTCTATAAGGTGTATGGCGTCTAATGGAATTGTTGATCCGATTCAACCTATTTTCGGCACATGGGCATATTATTATCAGATAAGGACTCTCTCTGGGTTTCTATAAAATATCTAACAGATTGACCGATATATTATAGATAAAAATTCGCAATAGGAACTGGAGTCCATATGAAAAATGAAAAAATCAGATAGAATTTAAAATTGTGTAATATGGGAAGTAGGCGTGATGGTAGGTGATCGCCCATTTTCTCATCCATTTTGTCACTGCGGCATAAGAACGTCAGAATAATGCTACCAACCGAATTTGGTTGAAATCGCTCGAGCAGGTCTCGAGATGTCGATTTTCATCTAAATGTAGGCGGTGCCATCGAGGTGTAAAATTTAATGTCTCTGACGCAATTAGTTATTGATTCATCACACTTTTAGTAGTTTTTAATAGAATTGTTATATGTGGAGCGGGCGGGGTTATCATTCGATTTCCTCCATTTTTACACTATCGATAGAGTTGCTTAAGGGATTTATCCTGAGCTGAATTTAGTTATAATAGCTGGAATGGCTTAGGAGATATGTACATTAAAACTCTTAGAAGGTATGGCAACGCCTATTTTTTCAAAGCTGATGACCAAACTACTATACTCTGTAGCAATATGTTGCAAGAGTATAAAATTAATAAAATTGTTTCTGAATTTTTTATATAATAATAAAGCATCATACGCTGAGAAAGGGAAAGTGATAAAGGAATATAATATAGTATTTGGTAAATATATCTTGTAAAATAAAAATGTTTTCCATACAAGAACTTAAATTGGGTCGATCAGTTTGTATGGCATCTATGTCCAATATTGGTCCGATATCGGCAGCTCAGAACAGGTTCTAGGGGAGAGAATGACATGTGCAACATTTCAGAATGGTAGCTCAAAACTGAAGGACTAGTTCGTGTATATACTAACAGACGGACAGAAGATGATGGCTTAATTAACCCAGCTCGTCACGCTGATCATTTATATATGTCTTTTATAGGGTTTCCGAAGTATGCTACAAACTTTTTTAGGATAAACAATAAAAAAGTAGTGAATAAAGAAAAATAAGTCCCTGAATACTAAATTAGCGATGATCATCCACCACTTTAATGCCAAAAACCACCATTTGTTCCTACCATGAAAACCAGCAACACTTATTGGATTTGGTGATCATGAAACAAATGTTGTTAAGTTACCTCTTTTGTCTTTTTTTCTCGTTGTTTAGCATTTTGCTATACTTTCTTACACTGTCCTGCCACCTTGTTCAATACTTTGTACATTTTTATACTTTTAGTACCTGTTCGTAATGTAATCCCTCAGCAGTTAGATTTGCTTCTTGAAATTTTAGATTATTTGAGGATCTCTGTTACATAAAAAGTGACATACAGTTTTGTTTTATCACCTGCTCGTCACTCAATATCCATCCCTACATGTATTGCTATATAATCATTAAAAGAATGTGGGATGTGACATACGAATGAGCTGAATTTCAGTTTTCATTTGGCAATCCAATGTTTCTTTGCTCTCCTCACTATATTTAATTATATTTACATTTAAATATAAGAAATTTTGACTGCTATTTGGAGTACGATTAATCATAATTCCTACATCATGAAGATAATTATCCCAAGTGCTCTGCATTAAATTTCAGAAGAAAAGTTATAATGTAAAATGTATAGTATATAAGCCGGACTTTCTTATAAAATCTTTCAACAGCGAAAGAGATCCAAATTTATAGAAACATCTATTTTTACAAAAACAACAATACGGATACCACAAATAGCTCGGCTGACATAAGTGCAAATATGTAGAGCTCGAGCAAGGAGCTATTAATACCAGCTTGTGAAAATATATTATGATTACCACATTGTTTAGGGAAATTTTCACGCAAATTGGCATATATTATTGCTCAATATAAACGTGCAATATGCAAATAAATTGTTAAAATCGAGTCACTATAGTATATAGATGTCATACAAACTGGCCGATCGAAATCATGTTCTTGTAATGAAGCTTTTGTATTTGTGAAGGGTATTATAGCTTCAGTGCAACCTAAGTTAAAGTTATTTCTTGTTTTCTTATGCCTTAGAATTTTAAAAGCTAGAAAAAGTGCTGCCAACTCAATGGTTTTACTTTCCATCTAGTGAGGAAACAATTTTTGTGGCTGGTGGGTTTTGTAACCTAAACAAGATATATTAAGTTTGACAGAAAGTTTTAAACACCCAGTTCGAAACGTAATAGACTCTAAAAACTATATATGTTATATAGTTAAACAACTAGTCCCTAAGTTTATGAGATATCGAACAAATCTTTTGCACACGTCTTTTTCGCCCCAAGAAGCTACTCATTAGTCATTGGAAATCGCCGATATCGAACCATTGAAGGTTCCAACGTTAAGATATCTAAGTTCTGTCTCAAGCTTTTGAAGCCAAGAACAAGAACAATAAATACACCCGATTATATTACCGGAAGGAAACTTTTTTATCAGCTACCTTTTTCCGAGTATATAAAATATATATATATATATATATATATATAGGTAAAGTCTCCGTATTACTATCAGCGCTCATAAATTGCTCTATTGTATTATGCGTTGTGAAATTGTTTGTGCGCCTTGTTGGCGTAAGCTCGAGTCTACGAATGTGAACCTTTTTATTCATATTTGTATGTGTGTATGCACATGTATTGGGGATATCATGCCTGGAAAAAGTATTAAATGATAACGTATTTTAAAACGGCATCGACATTTTCTACTTCCTGCCGCGTATTATGTTGCCACATAGTGTGGCATACTCATATTTAGTTTGCAAAACAGAAAAAAATCAACTCAGCAAAAAATAACTGTAGCTGTGAAGGCATTATGTAGCAATATAGAGTTGTGTATGCCATCACCCTGCGTGTCGTGGCGTTGCTGCATTTTGCTGCTCAACGAGCGAAAGATTGAAATTTTCAATATAGTGTTGGTGCAACTCGCTCTTGTTCTTCTTATTGTTGCCATTATTGTTATTGTTGTTCAATGCTGTCTGCAAAGTGAATTCCAGAATTCAATTGAAATTTTTAGTCTCAACTTTAGTGCGCATGTATGTGTACCTGTGTGTGTGTGTGTATGTGTGCTTGTATGCAACATGGTCTACTGGGTGCTTTTGCTGCTCTTTATTTCGCTAACGTCGTGTGTCGGCAGCGTCGCGCACTTAAATGCCGGCGCTCGTATGTAGGTGATGGTGGCGGCATTCTCGCTGCCACACAGCCGCATAATTGCATGTGCGTGCGCGTGTGCGCCAGGCTGCGCGTCAGCCAGGCAGCTGGCCTACAACCGCAACCAGCCACCCAATTTTCGCCTTGGCCCGCTGTTGTTGTCACTACTGTTGTTGTTACAGTTGTTATTGTTGTTGTTGCTGCAGCTGTTACGCGATTTGGCATCGGCAATTTAATGATAGGCGATTTTCCTTTGTAATTTTGCCATTTAATTCTGATTTGTATTATAAAAAGCTTGTCGTCACTGCCATTGTACCGTTATCGTACTGTAAGATTCGTATGTCTGTAAGGTTGGAGGTAAGAAAGAGTATGATTGGTTTTGTTACATCTTATACTGCGGCCCTCCTTCATTCAATTTGTAATTGTGCGATTATCACAATTGTGATTACAATATTGAAAATCGCAGCTCAATGGCGGAAAAAGTTACATGCCTATTTCATTTTGAGTGATTGAGGTGGAAATTGCCGGACCATTTTGTAAGGAAAAGATTAGCTTATTGATGTAGTTGTGAATCCACAGCCAAATGTGACATTTCAAAATAATTGCATTGCAAAAAATATCGTTGGGTTATCCTTGAAGTGGATTGTTCCGCAATAAACTGGATTTTGTCATTATTTGAACATGACTTAAATTGTGAAATAGTATGGCAGAAGCGTTACAAATATATTCGTAAATATGGTTGTCTTAAGCAAGGTAATTTCCACTTAAAGCAGTATTAAGGAGCTCATTCTGTTATAACCAACTTCCTTCATGCTATGCAATTTTTAGATCAAACTACTTCTAGAGTCTGTCTTTGCTGTAATTGGGTTTTGCTTTGCAAATGAAACCTCCCACAACTGTACGAATAAAAATTTTACTAAAATATATACACACTTCTTCATAAACAAACAATATTTTTTGATTATTTTATTTTCATATGTCATTTTTATTGTGATATGTAACATAGTTACACTAAATTCTTTTGTGTACATCCATATGGTATGTACATATATACAATTTATGGTTAAGTTTCCAAAAAGACTTTTATCGTAGTTTGTCGCAACATTCCTTGATTCTGTTTTATGAAACATAGTTTTCAAGACTTTGCGAAGCTTTAGCGTACTGGATTCCAGTAACATCATCACTAACGTGTGCTTCAAAATATGATTTAATTGGACCCGCATCCTGGGCTCATACTTCATTTAGCTCTGGTTTCTTTAGTTTTCTTACTTCACAAGCCTTATCTTATGTCATAG